AGACTCGAATTATATGAAAGACTTCTAATTTGTCAAAAGGTTCATATTATGTATTCTGTTTAAAAAAACCTTCTGATTCTCACTGAAATAATGTTTTTGGATCAAAATTGAAATCAGAAAATTACTTTATATCTGTACATGCTTTCGTTACGGAAGCATCTCGAAAAAGTAAATACGAGAAGGTATGATGTTAGTCGAATACTTATATTTATATCCAAAAGACGTCACATTGACAATTTTATATATATTAGGAACAGTGTCACCAAGACAGGTTTCCAAACATTAACAACATTGATCACACAAAGACACATAATTTAACTGGAGAACTTCCAACACGCTGCACTATTGATATATTTGATTGTCTATTAGTTGGAACCAAGTGACAGATTGAAGAAAATATTGACTGAAGATTTTGCAGCGTATGTAGAACAAATAATGGACAAAAATTCTATGTTTTGAAAGTTATGCTTTTCAAATAAACTTGTCTCACCATGCTTTTTAAAACAACGAATACAAATCAGATCACTTAAAAGATATGATATGGTACAGAAGGAGTATTCCATGCAATCTCAACCACGTTTACATAGAGTATCCCCAAATCGAATGAAACTTTCAGACCCAGGTCGATCGTTCCGGTCACCGGATACTGCAGGAACCGGCAGGAAAGACGCGGGAAAATCGCCGGTTCCTGCAGGAAAACACCGGAAATCAACGGAACATGGAAGCAGTATTCCGGCCGGAAATTTTTCGGACCTTTTCCGGCGGATTTCCGGCCGGTTCCTGCCGGAAAGAACAGGAATTGGCTGGAATCCACCGGAAAAAAATCCGAAAAATTTCCGGCCGGAATACTGCTTCCATGTTCCGTTGATTTCCGGTGTTTTCCTGCCGGAACCGGCCGGTACTTTTCGACCTGGGGAGTTTGTAGATTCTACAAACTCTGAAAGTTTCATTCGGTTTGGAGATATTCAACGGAAATGCAGTTGAAATCTCTCAAAATTAGAAAGTGAATCTTTTTAAAAAAGTATTTATCCTTTTATGCTTTAACACTAAACCCCTCCCCATAATAGAAGCCCCTCACATATTAGAAGCTCCCCCTTATTAGAAGCCCCCATTGGAGGGGTCTCTCCAGCAAAATTTTCAGTTTTGCCCAGCAAAACCTAGCCAAAGTTTGCAGGGTCTAATAGAAGCCCCCCGGGGGCTTCTAATATGGGGAGGGGTTTACCGGAATGTGTAAAAAAAATACTCAGAAGTCCATTTATTATGGGTCACATATCATTATTAATTACATACCAATACATGGACATCTCCAAACATTACCAAGACCTTATATATAAAAAAAAGGGTGGGTGAGTGTGGGTGTGAATGTGAGTGTAAATATCACTCAGCTTTTCATTCACACCCACACCCTCAATGGTGATGGGGGTGATGATATAAAAGATTCATCGTTTTATAAAAAAATTGAAATTTTTAAACGTACACTTGTAGTACATTTACTATAAAAAAAGAATTTATAAACGTATATTTTTTGAAATTAATCGAATTAATAATATTTATCATCATGTTCAAGTATTACGAATACCATCTGAATTATTAATGAAGGATGGAAATAGTGAAAATAAATTTACAAAAGAATTAAATAAAAAGACTAGAATAAATAATGAAAATTTCCATAAGAATCATAAATTAAATTAAATTTATAAAAAGGAAAATGATCCTGCATACTTAAATATAACTAATGGAGAATTTGATTATAGTTATATCATCTACAACTTTCAATGATGAAAATGAGAATAAAACTGAAAATGGAAATAATAAAGTTATTTATATTGCTCAATTTAAAGATGAAACTAAAAATGTTGATGTACAATTTTATCGTAGAATTTTAGCCTATGTATTAAAATGCCCTAAAAGAACGTATTGGGCAAAATATCATCAACCAACAGTTAAAGAAATTAAAGATTGTGAAAATTTAAAATTTTTTTTTAAACAATGGTTATGATTTTGCTATAGAATAAAATAAATAACAATGAAGATATCTCACAAGTGTGCTTGTTATTTAGAAGTACATAATGAAAATTGATGTCCTAGATAAACAATGTAATACAGTTTTTTTCGTTTTTTTTGTTTATTTTTTTGCATTTTTTAAGTTCACTTCTTCAACACATCGTTCACATAAACAATCAAAAAACCATTCTTTTA